TCAATAATCCTTATACAGATTTATAGCATTCCTTAATCTTAAGGTTAGTCTAAGAATAGAAACTAATTTCTGGAAACGATTATTATATTTGAGAGTTAATAAACTGAAGGTTTTTATTTAATGAGAACCTTAAATAAAACAATACTATTGTATAATAGGAGTACTTGTTTTATTGCATTAGCATGAATTGAATGTCTGATTAGTTTCTTAATCTGTAAAATTTCATTTTTGTTAATACAAAACTAAAAACAAATTTAAAATTGAATTAACCTTAAAAATGACAAAATATTTACTAGAAATGAAAACTTTTCACAGGATTGTGAATACAATCTGATCTGACAGCTGATTATAATGATTACAAAACACTGTTTACATTCAAATATTATATCCATAAATTGATTAAATCAAAGGATTTTAAAACATTTTATTAAATTATTTTTTAAAATGTTAAATTATTTTGTGAATAAAACATAAACAGTAAAAATTCTAATCATTTATAATATGGTTTTATTTATTTTGACATTTTCTTAATTATCAACATTTTAATAAATATTAAATTTTTATTATAAATTCATTTATAATATTCACGAATATTTTCATTTAATCATTATTTTTATTTTATATTTGCTTAAATTAATGAAAAACGTGCGAAAATCATAGTCAGTTTAATTAATAGAAAATTTGTTTCATATAAAAATAAAACTTAACTCTTGAATTGTCTATAAAGTTATAAACAAATTTAATTAATGATTTATATTATATTTAAAATCAAAAATAGGGTGCGATGTATATCGGAGAGATATGCCGGTATCTATTGGCACAGCCGGAGAAACCGGTGGACAGGCAGCACAACCTGAGGATTATGTTTGGCAATGGATTACGAAAGAAGATTTGGACGGACTTTAAGACCCGATTTAATTTGAGACAAATCGGAGAGTTTTACGGCTCTACTGAAGGCAATGCAAATGTTGGTCAGTATTTGTGTCAACATAACGCCGAAAAACTTTTTACAAACTTTTTAAATTAAACTTTTTTTTTGTGTAAACTTGTTTCGTAAGCCAATATATCGAATCGGGAGGGCGCCTGTGGTTTCGTTCCCTGTTGTATCCCATGGTTGTGTCGACTCGTATACCCAGTGGTAGTCATGAAAGTGGATGAGAAGACTGGGGAACCCATACGCGATGAGAAGGGCCTCTGTATTCCCGTAAAGCCGGGAGAAATTGGCGAAATAGTGGGCAAAATTAATGAGTCCGACCCCGCCCGGGCTTATCCCGGGTATCATAACGTCGAGGCCACTAAGAAAAAGGTGGTCTGCGATGTGCTCACCACCGGAGATAAGGCTTTCCTCTCAGGAGATCTCATGGAAATGGATGAGTTAGGCTTCTTGTACTTCAGAGATAGGACCGGAGATACCTTCAGATGGAAAGGTATTATTAGTGATTATATTTATTATTAATATTTGTCATAAATGTTAGAAAGGTTCACATAAATTATCACTTTTACTCGTAACCTAGAAATAAAAATCTTTGGTATATTTAACCACTAGTGTATAACATAATAGTCAATTTATAAATTGGATATCTTAATTAATAAATTAAAATTTAAAGTTACCAGTATACTAATGTTAAGTGTTCATAGTATTGCTTAGAATTAGGTGGAGTGACCCATTAATATTGCAATAGTTAATTAAACTTAAATTGAATTAGCGATTCTGATTAATTTAGAATTTTATTTAAATAACATTAATAAATTATTAATAATAATAATTTAATAATAAATGATTTAATTTTATTAATAATATTTTATTTCATATTCAAAATGCTTTGTTAGGCGAGAATGTGTCGACCACTGAAATCGAGGCCATAATCCAGAAAGTGATTCGTCTGAACGATTGCGTGATCTTCGGCGTCAGTGTTGAACAGTGCGAGGGAAAGGCCGGTATGGCTGTCCTCAGTCGACCACCCAATGGCACAATCGATATGAAAAATTTGTACT